GGGAGAGAGGAGCAGGAGCATGGGCGGGGGATGTGGATACGCACCAGTGAGCGTGAGCAGCAACGAGCGCCGGCGCTTGAGGATTGCCAGGGCGATCTGGAAGAGCACGCGCACGCCATGCAGGAAAAAGACATCCAGCACACGGATGGCATGTGGCAGCAGCATCGACGAGATGTACTGCGTCAAGAACCACGGCATCACAGCCAGCGAGAAGTCCATCTCGTGCTTGTTGACATGGGCATACAAATCCGGCAGGTACTCGCTGATCAGGCTCTCCAACACTCGCTGGTCCACCAGAGCCCCGAACATGTTGGACGAATAGTAGTTCGGCAGGAGACGCTCCACCACCGACGTCAGCGTCCAGAAGGCCAGCTCCTCGCGCTGGAACAGCAGCAGAATGCTCCCCATCAGGTTCATGGCTTGGCAGTAGCCCAGCTGAGGATTGCGCACGGAGTAGGCCTGCAAAATACGCCGCAGGCGATCCAGACCGTCATACGTTTGGTAGGCCGGGTGGTCCGGCAGCGAACGCATCAGATCCTTCTCAATCTCCTCGGTGGCCGTGGTCGGCCGACCGCGGCCCTTCTTCAACAGCTCGCGATAGTGCAGCAGGTTGATGCTGAACTCGTGATGTGCTCCGGCGCATGAGGCCCAAATCTCGCCGCGAATCCGGCTGGGAATGCCAACAAACACCAGCTGGAAGAAGTCCCGCGGTGTCCACCGAATCATGGTCAGGCCACGGCCATTCCGGAAGAAGACCGATTGCCAGATGTACTCCTTCTTGATTTCACTCTCGCTGCATGGTCAGACACATGCCGACATCGAGCGTGGGAGCCGGGAGAAGGGAGGTATGCCAGGTAAGAGGTCAGTAGAGAGCAACAATGGCAGCAACAAGAACAACAACAACAGCAGCAGCAGCAGCAGCAGCAGCAGCAGCAGCAGCAATGTGGAAGGCCTCAACCCGCCACGTACACAGGCTGGTCCACTGGGAAGCCGTGGATGAAGCCCAAGGCGTCCACCTTCCCAATCAAATGGTACGGATGGCGGATTTGCTGCTGGCGAACCTCCAGCAAACTCTTCAGCACCACACGCTTGGCCTCGACCACCACAGGACTGGAGGAGTGGGAGCCAGAGGCAGCCTGGCCACCGGCCACCGGTTCGGCCGGGTATAGGGGAGCATTCTTGCCCAGGGGAGCGGCTGCCTCTTCGGTATGGGCGAGGTCACTGTCCAGGTTGTGGGAAATGCGAAGCCAATCCGAGGCCAATTCGGATTTGGTCGGCTCACCGGAGAGGTCCTCCTCACCGACAGGCACCAGGTGCCCAGTGGTGATGGAGGCCGACTCGGTCGCATGGGCCGGCTCCGGGGCGGTTGTCTGCCGGCCGGGCGAAATGGCCTGCTGCGACTCCGGCGACTGGGTGACTGGTGCCGCGGTGGCCGGGACATCCTCATCGGGATCGCCATAGAAATCGAAGTTCTCCTCCTCCGACGCATCGCCCGGACGAGTGCCAGATCCGGAGCCCACGACACTGGACCCATGGGAATCACCACTGCCAGAGCTCCGGCCATAAAGGCTGAAGGCCCGACTGCGAGAGGACCCGCCGGAGGAACCATCACGTGGCGAGCTGGCTTGGCTGCCGGCGGCACTGCCAGCGGCACTGCCGGCCGCCGAGCCCCGCTGGAAGTCTCCACCGATGACACCAGTGAGGAAGGGCTCGGCGCCGATGTCCGAGTCACTGTGCTCATCTTCCTCATCCAGATGCCCATCGCCACCGGAACCGGCGATGATTTCAGCGACATTGCCATCGGACGAGTTGACGGTCACATGGCCGCCGGGAGGGGCCGGCATCCCGACCGTCTGGAGGTTGGTGGTGGAATCCACCGGCGATACCGGGCCCGACTGGATGACATTGGTCAGATCCGGGTCCACATGCGGGGCGAAGGAGGAGGACGCCGAGATGTACTCGAAATCCGCCCGCGCGGCAGCCAGACGGCGCTGGCGCCGGGCAGCCAGGTCGCGCTTGAATTGCTCGAGCGCCGTCTCATAGTGCTCCGGCAGGTGCAGCAACTCCTGCATCTTCTGCGTTTCCTGGCTCTGGCTGGCCAGGGCCGCCTGCAGGCCAATGTTCAAATGCGAGGAGGGGGCCGCAGCAGTGGGCGGAACCGGGGTAATGAAGGGGCTATTGGCGGACATGGAGCTGATTGACTCATCCAGATGCCGCTGCCGAGCCCGGGCATTGATATTCCGCTGGTTGGCCTCCTTCAGGTATTGGGAAAAGAAGGCGGAGAATTGCTCGAAGTCCATCGGATTCTCATCCGGCAGGATGATCTGGTCGGTGGGGAGCATGTTTTGCCAGTAGAGCTTCAGCGTGAAGGGCTGCTGCTTGGCAACCAGAGTGAAGCACCGGGTCGCCTCGGCTCGCTGAAGGGATGCACATGCATGTGGCCGGACGGGGAAGGTCAAGCAAAAGAGAGCCAGGGAGAGGGGGAGAGAGAGAGGGAGAGAGGGACGCGCGATGTTAGCGGGTGGGGGGGGATGCTTCGCCAGGGCGGCAGGGCGAAGGAAAAAAAAAGGCCCGCCAGTAGACATGCAAGAAGATCAGGAGCAAACGAGGACCATGGATGGGGCACACGCACGGAGAAGCCCGTCAACAGATGCGAAGGCCAGATGAGAAGTGTACTCGAGGAGGCTGGATCGATCAGGGACAGGCAGATGAAGTGCGTCGACAGGTAGAGCATGGCCTGGACCGGTTCGCCGAAGGTCCCGCTGCGCTTCTTGCGGATGGAGTCCAACTCGAAAGTGACCGGCTGGCAGGCCAGGAGCTCCTCGGTTTGCGGGAGCCGGAACATCCGGCAGAATTTGTTCCGAACAATCTGGCGGCGAATTTGCACGCGCAGGGCCTGGCCCTCGGGACCGGCCGCCCCGCTGGGCAGCAGACTTTTGGTACCCTCACTCAGGGGGGCGATGCTGGCATCGGCCTCGGCCAGGGCCTCCTCCTCGGCCGCGGCCGCTTCCTCGTCCTGCACGGTGGAGATGTCCACATCAGTGAAGCCGGCCGGGATGTGATCCGAGGCCGGCCCCGGGGCAGACAGGTCGCGCTCGGTCGGCACACTGCGCAGCATGCGCGAGACAGCATCATCAACGAGGAACTCGATTAACTCAAACACCTCGTTGCGCTTGAAGAGGTTGAAGAAGGCATACTGAAGCCGGGGGGGGGGGGGGGGGGGGGGCGGGGGAAAAAACGGAGAGGGCTACAAAGATGGGAGTGGGCGAGGGTGTGGGGGGGCGGGGGGGGGGAAACAGAGTGGAGAGCACACGATTGTAAGTGGCCATGTTGCTGGGAGGCCGGGCGGGGGCACCGCGAGGCATGTGTGCAGGCAGCACGAACCTGAGCCCCGTCCACGGTGGAAATGAAGATGCCACTGGTCAAACCAACGCGGCGCTTGGACAGGAGACTGACATTCTTCAGCTCGATGTTGACGCGGGTCTCCTCGCCAAGGACATTGGAATGGAAGCAGATGCGATTTTGCGAGAGGTAGAGCCAGCCCTGCTGCAGGAGCTTGTTCAGGGCGCAAGGATAGTCTGGGAGGCGAGAAGTCAGACAGGGAAGAGACGCGGGAAGTGTCAAAGCAAGGCGTGGAAGGAGAGGAGGAGGAATGGCCGCACAGTTGACCAGGCGCTCGCGCAGCTTGAAGGTCTGCCGGAAAGAGTGGGTGGCACGGCGGAAGCCCTCGTCATTGCTCAGATCATCGTCATCCCAGCTCGAGTGGCCTGCAGAGTGGAGGGAGAGGGTCGTAAGTTGCGAGGGGAGGGCAGCCGATGTGGGGCAAGAAAGGCAGAGAAGTGGGAGGGAAGGCAAGGGCGATGTATATATATATATACGCACCGGTCCGCAGCATATCGCTGGTGATCTTGGTCTTGAGGTAGTGCAGGCCATCTGAGATGAAGAGCTGCTCCAGACCCGGAGCAACATGCGTAAGCAGGAAGTGCCAGTGATCTTGGAGATCCTCCTCGGTCTCGCCATTGGCGATGTAGTACGAGGGGGGGTGGGTGAATTCCGGGTCATTGGGCTTCGGCGTTGGGCGCCAGATGATGCGGAAGAGACTTTGGCTGTGCGTGACGGATGCCAGGGTGTCAGGGGCGCTTGCCGAAAGGCGGAGGGCGAGGGGGAAGGCGGGAGGAGGAGGAGAAGGGACACATTTGAGGGGACACATACTGGACATCGAGGACATTTTGGAAAGTCCCAACAAACGCCCGAACAAGGCTGTTGCCTTCCTCGCGGCGGGACTTCTGGATGACGAACGAGCTGGAGGGGGCGGAGGAGAGGGGCAAGAAGCCGAGAACGAGTGTCAGATCCAGGAGGTCGGCGGGTGGGCATCAGCACCGAGCATGGGCACATACTTGCTACTCTGAACGTCGACCCAGAACTTGGTGACCATGCACTGCTGCGGGTGGACCCACATGGCGGCGAGGTTTAATGGTCGGGGGGGGGGGGCAGAGGAGAAGGGGAGAGGAGAGAGAGAGAGGGAGCGAGGGAAGGGGGAGGGCAAGGCGGCAAGGAGCCCGCCTGTGCGTGAGATATTAACCAGGCAGGGAGAGGCGAAGTGGGAGGATGGAAGCGGGGAGGGGGGGGGGGAGAGGGGACAGAGGCTATAGGGCGTCTTGCGCCCAGGGGAGGAGAAGAGAGGGGAGGAGGGGGCACGACCCGGGGGACCGGCCAATCGAAAAGGGGGATGCGTGGGAGGAGGAGGGGGGGGGGGAGGGGTAGAGAACCGCCGGAGCGATTCCGGCGCCTCGCCCTGCCGGCTCCTCTTGTTGGCGCAATCGCGCAAGGTAGCCCGACACGCTCGTCTCATCCTATACGGGGGTGACAGTGGACCTGGCCCCGGCCGGGGGGGGGGGCGCGTAGACAACTGTGGCGGTGGCGGTGGGATGTTTGAGCGAACACCGGCGCCAGTGCTTGACCACCCCCCGCTGGGCCACTGTTGGCTTGCAGGTGAAAGCAGCGACCGGCGCACTTTCCCGTGTCTCTTGGTGTGATGGGAGAGACCGTCCCGCGGGACCTCGGGCCAGGGCCGCCCAGGCCGCACAGCATGCCTGTGCTTTTGGGAGATCTCCCCCGCCCGTCCGCCTGGCAACTTCACGCGCCCCAGTCCTCTCCATCCACGCGCGCTCAACCTCCTTCCTGCCTGCGGCTTGTCCCCCCCCCCCAAACAGACCGCGGCCCAAAGAGCCGGAGAGGCAGCACATGCGCACATACAGGCACACGCGCATGCCGAGTCGCTCCCAGGCGGGGGCCGAGCGACGGGTGGCCTGCCGCAGGGAGCAGCGCAGGGAGCTGCCTCCGCGACCACCAACCGCCGGGATGGTGGTTGCCCCCCCTCCCTGCAGGCTTCCCAGTGGTGGTGTCACGTCCGTGGGGCGGTGGGGCGTGCGGCGATCGGGGATCACCCGAGAACCGTTGCTTGGGCCGGGCACCCTCCCCCCCCCGTCCCCGCCCCCCGGGAGGCGCGGAAAGGGCGGCAGCACCCGCAGGCCAGAGGCCGGGGCTCGGTCTGAAACGGGGCTGCCCTCGGGCAAGGAATGTTGACCCGCACTTGGTTTGCTGCCATATGCCCTGGCGCCCCCCCCCCCCCGCCCGGCCCCCGCTCCCGGTTCTCCCTGGCAAGCTCCGCTTGTGCTCCGAGCCCGTTCAAGACGAGGGGAGCCATGGTCAGCGAGAGCGCATTAAAGGGGACGTTCCCCTTGCCCCCCCCCCCCCGCCCCGGAGAGTGGTCCCGTATTCAAAACGCATGTTCCCTTTTTCTGCCCTTCATGCGCGACTTCGCGCGTGGAGGAGACCTACACCGATCGGCCCTGCTACCGCAGATATCCCCGGGCCAGAGCCCCCCCCCCCCCTCCCGAAGACTTGACCCTGAAGGAAGCCCTCCCCCCTGGCACAGCAGCGCCCCTTGCCGAACACGAAGGCGGCGCCCGCTGGCAGCCTTTCGCCGGGCGCCCCCCCCCCCGGAAGCCGAGGTCCCTGTGGCCCACGTTCTGCCTGTTGGTGTGATTCTACAATATCAGACTGGCGGGCCCAGGCTCGCTCCTTGTCCCTGGCCCGCACGCGCCTGCGCCTGTGTCCCACCCCAAGGGCCCCGGTGGGCGCAGCGTCCAAAACACCACAGCCCTTGATCCATGGACCGGGGCGTGGCCCATTCCACGAAGAGAATCCGGCCCGTAAGGGAAACGAACGACTCGGTCTCTCTCTCTCACCACGGCCTTACCCGCTTTGGCCACTCAAGAAGCGGACACCCCCAGGCTCCAGGCCGCTCCTGTCACAGAAGTAACTTTGAAATGCGCGCATGTGTTCATGCTTGATCACGGATTACCTACGCCCTGAGGCAGGTCCCCACGAATCGGGGCGTCCATCGGACCAGCGACCATTTGACACAAGACATCTCGGGAATCTGCTCCTGAAAAAGGGACCCGGTCGGGAAAAAAGGAGGAAGGCGCGCCGAGCCAGCGGATGCTGCCGCCCGAAGGGATGAGTGTGGTGTCTTCTCAAGGGAGGGGGGGACGAGTGAGTGAGCAAGAAAAGTAGCAAGAGCCCCTCATCAAACGGAGACATCGCCATAAGGAAGTCTCAGAACAGGTGTTCGGAGGCCGGCCGGGCGCTTCGATGATGCTCTCGCATGCCGATCGACCCACTCAGGTGCCAGGGTCTTGGCTGGCAGCAGGCTCCCAGAGGGAGCCCTCTTTCGATCTCGGGCTTCGTCGAGGCGGAAGGCTGAGAGTCCCGCACTCGCCCAGACAAACAAGCGCGCACGCGCGCACCTATGACTGCCCCCTTGTCGGGCCGTCGCCCGGGCTCGGGGCTTGGCGAGCCCATGACTCCGTCTGACCATGCATTCCTCAAAGTGAAGAATGACGTTCAAATGCCGAAAGAGCTCGCGGGATTGCTCGCGTGTGACTTCCTCGCTCGGTGAGTTGGATCTGGAGCTCGGCTTCATCAATGCCCCAAACTGGGGCTTAACCAAATGGACGGCCAGTTTCGCCAGCAACACTGATGTTGTCCTGTAGAGTGCTGGATACGCCTCAACCCCGGCATGACATTCTCGGAGACCCCTAAAAGTCCCCCTCCCCGCCCCCTACTCCTCCTCCTCGGAAGCGTCCCAAGTCTCGGTATCGAGGCGGCCAGCTTTCGGAATAAGGGGAATAGCATAAGGAGCGGCTCGAAGCTGGTGGCCGGCGCTCAAATAACAAGTCCATCGGTCACACTGGCCGACTCCGCTCCAGGGAGAGCGATGCACCAAAGCAAACCAACGGCAGGTCGCCAATCCCTCTGAAGAGATTCTGGTTTCACAGTTACAATCGATATTCATTATATTGTTCCTATTGGAGTCATCCCCCAGTCCGAATGATGTAGATGGTTATCATATCTGTCTAACACACAGAATGTCCCAGGTTCGAGTCCTGGTTCGGACAGTCCCTTTTTGGACTCCCTAAAATTAGCGGAGGATGGTCAGTTTTTTTTCTTTGTCCCATACTATTCCCCTCGGCCACCCCCTGATCCCGGAGACAAATGCCCTCTTCGGTGAATTCCCGCGACGCGAGGCGGACATCAGCGTCCCTTCCGCTGATTTACGCGCCCAAAACACCCGACAGCAGGTGGCTGGCACGGGGATGATATTGAATAGGGATGGTACCTTTTGCCGCCCAGGAGGTCCTCAAAGAACCCTCACGCGTGGTCTCCTCTCGCCCCGTCCGCCGCCCTCCCCTGCGCCCGTTCGTCGATCGCGTGCGCCTCACCATCACCAGGCAGAGGCCGAGAGAGCAGCCCGGGAGGCAGGAATCCCCGTCTGGGTCAGGTAAATGTGAGGGGATCGGCAAAGGGACACCCCCGCCCGCCATCGATGAATGTCGAGCTGTGACTCCTTCGAACGGCCTCGGTGGGTGCACAGGACAGGGGGCTGTGCCGGGCAAGACGGCGAGGAGGCTTCAAGGATCCTTGCTGTCGATCGGCCGGCGAGGGGCGAGGCGGCAAATGTCAAGACATGCAATCAGCTGCACCAAAAAGCCAGAATCTTTGCTCATCCAGCCTGCGATCCGGCGCGGGATGCAACGCCACCATCATGTCTATCCCGGAGAGGGGGATGGACTCACACGCACACATCGAGCCTTGAAATCCCCTGCGGAGACCGTTGGAAGCCCGGATCTCTCCTGTGGGTGTCCCCTTGGAAAAGGTGAGACTTTTCATTCGCGCTGCCGAGGGATGGGACCATCCAGAAGGGACGAGGGCGGCGACGAGTCCCTTCTGGCGGAGGTTTCTGTGAGGTGACCTGCTTTCCGGTCCTCCGGGAGGGCCCGCTTTGTGCCAGCCGGCCCGCCCAAACTAGAACCCGGCCGCGGGTCCTTCAAGCAAGGAGCTACGAAAACAGACCGACCGCTGAAATACGAGACCTTATAGAACGACGGGGAGCGGGCTTCCTCACGGATATCCCGATTAGTATAGTGGTGAGAATCCCCGCCTGTCACGCGGGAGGCCCGGGTTCAATTCCCGGATCGGGAGCTCTTTTTTTGCCGCGAGACAATAAGGAAAATGGCACATTCATGTGATTAGCATCTCGCCGGGGGGCCGGGCGGTGTGCACAGCACCCGACGGAGGAGGGGGAGGGGGGGAGGAGGAGATGTGTGCGGGTTGGGGGGGGGGCGGGGGGTCCGGTCGCAAAGTGCTCCTGCTCCTCCCCTCTTGACCCAGCCCAGAAGCAAAAAAAAAAAAAGAGGGCCTCATCCCGAGACGTGTTCGGAGAGCGAAAAGCGTCGCAGTGATGCGCCGAGTATCAGGCGAGAAAATATCCACCCCACCCGACGAGCGCCCGTCCCCGGGGGCCTCCCCCCGGACGGCCTTTTCCGTCCGAGGTTCCGCCCATCCTTCTTGTCCCCTGACTCGGCTCCGGCCGAGCTGTCAACTGGCCTGGGCGCGCGCGGATGGCCGTGAATCCCCTCGTCGATGGGCTCCCCCTCGCTCCCTGCCGCCTGGGGGCCTTTTGGGACAAAGGCACATCTTCGGCATGGCCTCCGTCAAGACGCACCCATTTGACGTTGGCCAAAACCCGTGAGACCCTCCCCGCAGGAATGAAGGCTCCCACCGGCCAGACGGCTGGGCGAATTCCATCCGCTCCTCAACTCCCGGAGGCGTTGGTGAAGCGCCAGCGTGGGCCCTGCTCCGCAGGACTCCCACCGCAGTGGCGCTCAGGAGAAAGAGGGCACGCCCTTTCCCCGGCGCATGCTCTCCTCCCCCCCCCCTGCTGGCCCCTCTGCGTGGCCCGCCAGGCGGCCCTTGCGGCCACGGTTCCACGTAACGGAAACACCTGTCACCCAAGAACAGGATGTGTCACTCGGGCACCCACAGCTAAAGGTCGCCACGAGCACAACAGGCAAGAGAGAGCGGCCTTGCTTCTGGGTGCTTCTCTCCCTTGTCTTCCGCGGCCCCTTTCCCGCCCCGCCCCGTCCCTTCGGATGGAGTAGCTTGTTTGGGCGGTCTGTGCATGTGTGTAAGTGTGCGGTGGGGCGACCCGGGCAAACAGTATCATTAATGTCAAAGCTCATGAGAGTGTATGTTGGGTGGATTAAATTACCGACGTAATTTGCCCGAAGATTAGGCCACTTGGGCTGCCCTCCCTAGCCCGGTGGCGGGGCCGGGCATGAGTAGGGTCGGTTGGGGGCCTACGAGCCTGGTGTGTGATGACCGCGCGCGCGCGCGCGCGTGTGCGCGTGTCCCCAGCGCGAAGAGCGCCGGTCTTGAGTGCAAGCCAGGACGCCCGGCCAAAATGGGCCCCGGGTCTGGAATTACACAAGGCAATAAGCATGCTGGCGAAGAAGAGGCTGGGATATTATTTTCTTTTCACGCCCCGCCGCTGCCTGCCGTTGGAAGTGACTCGCGCCGCCGTTGAACAGGCGCCGTGTGCAGGGCCGGACCTGGGGAGGGCCCTTGCATCCCGCTCGGCCCCTACTCTCTGTCCCCCCGCCCCCCCCCCCTTCGACGAGAGGCCCCGAGCTCCTGGTTCCCCTCCCCTCCTCGCGGCCGGGCGCCCTCTGTTGTGAGGGCGCGCTCCCCCGGCGCCCCTTGTCCGGCGCGTGTCCCTTCGGGGAGGGCCCTTTTGGGTGCACCCGATGCCCGCTGCGACGCTCCCCCCGGCCCTCTCGCCACCGGGGCACGCTCCGGGACATACGCCAAGGCTGGAACCAAGGAACAGGGGGGGCCGCCAGCGGTGCCTGAGTTGCCCGAGACCGACGCTTTGGAGCCCGGGCACACGTCTGGGCGCGCACCCCGGTGCATGCCGGGACGGGCAAGCTCCGGCTCGCGCCCTGCGGGGTGACCCATTCGTATTGCACCCCCGCGCAGGGCACCCGCCGGTTCCCGGGGCGCGGGGGGCGACGGCCTCCCCGCTCGGGCTCGCCCACGCTGCCCCCCCCCCCCCCCCCCCCCCCCCCCCCCCCCCCCCCCC